AACTATTGTGGCCTAAGGCAAACAGGAGCAGAGAAGTACTCACATGTTCACTGGACTCTCGGCAGCCAGAGCCACAGCAGAGTCCAAGTGGATCTTGTACGCTCTCCCATGGACCTGCAGGAACTGGGCCGGGTCCTTTTTCTGAAATCACAAGACTCCGGTAACTCTCACAGTAGAGTATAACACTGCCAAACAACTCCCCAAGGGACAAGTGGAAACTAGGGGCTTAAGGGAAAAAAAGTTCCTGCTTTTGAATGTTCCTGAAATCCATTTTTTTTTTTACACAGTAATGTTCCCGTTAATAATAATAATAATAATAATTGCTCACACTTATATAGCGCTTTTTCTGGACACTCCACTCAAAGCGCTTTACAGGTAATGGGGATCCCCTCCACCACCACCAAGTTAAGTGTACAACAGTACTACCTGCCGGGCATTATTGCACCCCCGCCAGTGCCTTCAGACGAGTCAGATTACATCACTTCCAATGTGGTTAATTAATCATTTATCATCAATCTATCCCTGTTCTGCATAAACTACCCGACATGTTGGTTAATCAAACATTTGTCTGGTTGTTTTCTGAATGAAAGCCCCTGAGAAGACCAGGTGGAAAACACCAGCGCCTCGGGCAGGGGCAGGGCGAGCGCCAGCCGCGACCGGACAGGGGCAGCTGGCCGCCCACAGGGCGGCTCCTGGGGGCCGCGGGCCGAGGCCCCGTTCCTCGGGCACGCCGACGGCTCGCTCACGATTTTCTCGTAGTACTCGCGCCGCCGCTCCGCCCGCCGCTTGTAATCCACCATCATGCCGCGCAGCTTGCGCTCATGCTTGCGGGCTTCGTGCCACATCCTGGCGCCGGGGCGGCCAAGCCCTGCTGCCGTGGAGACGGGAGGAGCCGGAGAGGCAGTCCGAGGGCAGCAGGAATCCCACAACACACCTGCACAGGGAGAAAGGATGCTGGGGGTGAAAAGGAGGCACAGTCTGCTGAGGGCCAAGGTGTTCTGGGCTCTGCCCCTGGGGCCACTGCAAGACAGCTGGCCGGGAGCAGGGGGTATTCATCTGCCCTCGGCCCAGGAGCCACAGGGCCTTGTCCAGGTCCTGAAATCAACCTCCTGTTCTCACAAATGTAGGCTTCCGGCAATAAGAGTTTACCGGTTCCTAAAAGGTTGTAGCAGGGCGGAGCTGGCGGCTGCCCATGTGACCGCTATCACTTTTTAAGGGCTGCTTGCTCTTCACCGCTCTCCAGCCGCCCGCTCAGCCTTGCTCACGGCTTCTCGGGGGCTGAGCGGTTTCCCCTGGGGAATACAGCTGCCCACAATGGCGGCCGCACCCGGAGGAATGTGTCCGCGACACTCCTCATACTGCTCGCCTCTCTCCCTTCTCATGGGGATTCCCGTCTAATCCCTGGCAAAACACACGAACGAAGCAGCGACACATCCAACACAGCCCCCGCGCAAGGGACTCTCCTAATCGCTCCTGTCCCTCCCTGATATGCAATCTCATCTACTGCTTTTGCTTAAAAATGACATGATTAGAAACGCCTGCTTCGAATTCTTGCCCTAATAACATTTACTCACTTCGAACAGAAGTAATTTAAGGAATGCGGCGATAAATATTACAATTCCCCAACTGTTTATCTGTTTTTGTGGAATAAATAACAGCTGCGACCCCGGATCCCAATGGCGCCTGCACACGTACGAAATGTAGTCTTCTTCCTCCAACGTCTATGTTCCTTGAAAGGATTTTGGTTATGCTTGTCTGTAAGATATTTCGGGTCTTTCGATTTTTACCACCGGATATTCTTTGGTGTAAGATTTACAGAGTGCAATTAAATATATAAACACGTCGAACAGCCGTAACTGCACCCGAACTCCGATCGGGAGGCCATCACAACACACAGTCCTCCGGTATCCCGGCAACCACTTCCGAGGTCAAAGAGCAATGAGAGCGGAAGTGGAGGAAAGGGTGAACGGGAGTTGTGGTTTTAATATTTTTGGTGTATTTGAACAGAACTGCGGAGCTCGTTAATATTTTACCCTGCCTCCAAATGACACCAAACTGGTCCATTTCGGATATTATTGTGCACTCTAAGGAGAACATGACGTTATGCATCACATACCTGTGGCCACACGGATAGTAAATCACGGAATCACGCTCACCCGCAGCCACGTGTCAGGCTGTTTCGTTGCGAAGCTGGACGCGGAAGCGAGCTCGTACAACCCGAGCTCCAGCAGGCGGCGGTGCAGGCTCTCGAACGAAAATGTATTGGAAAAATCTGTGTAAACAATCCGTTATGATATATTATTTCTCTTTCCCCTTTTGTCTTCTTTAATACTATTTAACCCGAAGCTTCAGTTAGATGTAGTTCTGTATTCTCCAGCACTGCGTGTTTGCAGCAGGAAACAGTACTGAACTCCGGAACAACACGACAAAGTCGGATTATGGGACACGAAGTTTATTCCATGCTGAAAAGAGGAGACAAGAAACACAACGTTTCGGCCGTGGAGGTGTGAGAAAGAGGATGGACTTTCCCTAAACGTTGTTTCTTTTCTTCCCTTTCCAGCATGGAATAAACCTTTACTTGTTCCCTTGCAGCCAACACATGCTGACGCAGCTCCCTACTTGAACTACTCACGGGACAAGACACGACAGTCTCCTGGGCTACGCCTTCGGTTTTTGTGTCTCTTTATTTTCTTAGCGGTATTTTCTCTTTCGCTGTGGCAGAATTGACGGGCGTGTTCTAAGCTACGGTTCCAGCCCTCGGTCTGTGGGGAAGTTTTAACACCCATGGCTTTGCAGGAGCGCAGCGTCAGCTGGTGCCCGTCCCACCTGAGCACCAGCTCTAACCGATGACTTAACCGATCTGCTTCGTTGTTTAGATTTTTAACTTACTTCTTCGGTCAGTCCTGAGGGCCAAATACACCAAACTTCAAGTGTACTTTTCCCAGCAGCTTCAGGATACCGGCCTGTACGAAGGTTGGAACGACAGCGTATCAGACGGTTCGCCTTCTGCAGAGTCCAACTGGTCACATTCCAGGCAGCACACCGGAATCAGGGCTGTTCTGAAATTCACGCTCACTCTTGAGCAATCCCAGCCGTAGGACCTTCAAATGTCCCCAGTGTGGGCAGGGCCTTGGGTCAACAGCCCATGTGAAGTGCGGCCCCTCCTGTGGCACAGCACCCCCATTTGCAATACAGGGGTGCTGGTCTGGAATTTGAAGCAAGTGAGGAGAGAGTACCAGCACACTTCAGGCACTGCTGTACCCCCCCGCCTGCTCTGCGTGGATTTAATAATAACAAATTCTTTACACTTCTATAGCCTCCAGTCAAAGCACTTTACAGGTAATGGGGACTCCTCTTTATCAGTGTGCAGCCCCACCTGGATGGTGCTCCAGTCCGCTCCCCACACACCAGCTCTTAGTGGGGAGGAAAGCAGAGTGATGATGCCAGTTCAGAGATGGGGATTATTAGGAGGCCATGACTGGTAAAGGCCAGGGGGAACTTTGGCCAAGATGCCAGGATAACACCCCTACTATTTTCAAGAAACGCCCTGGGATTTTTAATGACCACAGGAAGTTAGGACCATGCTTTTACATCTCATGGCGCCTTTTTATAGTCTAGTGTCCCCGTTGCTATACTGGGGCATTAGGACCCACACAGACTGCAGGATGAGCGCCCCCTGCTGGCCCTACTAACACTTCTTGCAGCAGCAGCCTTAGCTTTCCTCGGGAGTCAGTCCCCTCCAGGTACTGACCAGGCTCACACCTGCTGAGCTCCAGTGGGCTGCTGGCTGTGAGCTGCAGGGTGAAACAGCTGCCGCCTGGTCTGGCCCCTCGCTCTCTGCAGCGAGAGCAGCAGGTGTTTCTGGAGCCCCTGTCCAGAGCAGGTTCATCTGAGGGCCTGCGAGGACGTGACTCGGACTCCTGGCAGGCATCTGCAGGCAGACGCTTCCTGCACCTCCCTCAGGACGGGCGGAGAGAGGAAGTTCGCTCATCACCTTTCCTGGTCGGCAGGGAAACCCCTCGCTGCCCACGTCACCTGGACCCCAGGCACTGCCAGCAAGGGCAGGGGTCATTGTAGAAACTCCCTTACAAACTATACCATGACTTAATGACTCATCTGTAGAGGTCTTAGGGAGCAAATTCTTTGGAAACATTGCGCCTTAGTACACCCCCTCGTGCTTCACTGAGCTTTACTGAACAGTTTTTAGCAGGACGAACCACAGGAAACAGCAGTAAGACCTGTCCCCCCATGGTTAAGTTGTTTTAGTGAAGGAAGAGTTCTCCAAAAATAATATATGTAGTGATACAGGCCTTTGTAGGTGTAACCGCCAAAAAAACAAGTGCTTTTTATTTCCTTCTGGCAGTACAAGGGATGCTTGGCAGAAGACAAAGCATAAACAAGGATTTAAGTGAGTCAGTACAAGCACTTCAATTAGTAAGGCCCAGAAGCAGATTGAACTGGTGCTGCTTAGGAAAAGCTTGTCTGTGGCTGGTGCCCCGCCACCTGCTTTTTCCATCTTCCTTGTAGTTAACCCTGGCCAGGGTCCAGGGCTCTCCACTGTGGTTCCCCGTAGTTCACAGCAGCAGCCTGGAGTCTCTCTCGCTCTGTCAGCATGGGGTTGGGGAGATGCCCCCCTGGGGTGGCCTGTCGGGGTCCCAGCACACACAGACACAGGCTGCACTCTTGGTGTTAAACAAGTTTTAATTACTGTTCGCACCGGTTGGCCATCACGAGAGACACAAGGAAAAAGGGCAGAGATGAACCAAAAACTCTCAAAGATTTCACGGTACAAAAATGGTAAATAAAAGACAAAATATAAATATGTACACTATATACAGCTGAACTATTTACAGACAAGTACAAAAATCATACATCTTTTACAAGCATGAACGTGCCGCCTCAAAGGGGACAATATCCTTTTGTCATCTACTAACTACCAAACGAGCTGGATGAGCTAGATTATTTTCCCTTATTAGTAACCTTTCTAGGTTGCTCTTTGCCATTGTCTTCAGCTCCTAAGGGCATTTTCCCAAGGGCAATGGGGTCCTCAGGTTGTCATTCCATCTGAGCAGATAATTAGTTAATTGAACCACTAATTTTTCACTTAACTGAGCGCTTATCCCCAGGCCTAAAGAGAAATAGCAAACCACTCAAACACAGACCAGAAGACACAAGTGGAGCCTATGTGGACCTGGATTTGAAACCGAAAACAGCAGGCGCTTCTTTACGAATTGTGGGAGTGTGGAACAAGCTTCCAGCCACTGACATAGACGCTACCCTGGCTTCCTTCAAGGAACTGCTAGATAAGATCCTCAGGTTAGCTACTAACTTCCAAACAGGCTGGATGAGCTGAGTGGCTCCTCCTGTCTGTGACCAACCTCATATTCTTAACCCCTCAGGGACTGTGGCTCCTTGAGAAACAGAGCTGAGGAACAATCGCAGAAAACCTCCATCAGACAGGACTAAATCACCTCCCCGTTCTCCACCCCACAGCCTCTCAGGGAAGGGGTCAGTCAAACTGGCCAGTGTGTACTGTCCAGCTGTGGTCAAGAGGTCTGTCCTCCAGCCTGTCTTTCCGACACTACAGAAATGTAACTCATGCCCCCATGCAATGAGCTCTTAAGACCCCCGATCAGTAACGCAATCTGGAAGCTACACTTTGTTAATGTTGGGGTCCCCACTGCACCCCCCGTCACTTCCTCTTCTCTCAGGCGGGGTCACAGGCCCTGTTCAGTGGGACCATAGCCCAGTTCTGGTTCAGAACCTCCAGAGGTCTGGTGAAAGTGGGTGTACAGAGATACAGAGCAGGGAAGGGGTTATGGAGAGCCCACCTGTGCTCAGCAGGATTGGTGGAGGGCAACTGGTCTGGCACAGTGGAGTCGTGTTTGGCCTAGGCTGTAGTTTGATCTGGTGGATGTCTATCGCAAAACCATATCTAACAAAAGTGGCCGAAATATTTCGTTCTCACGCTTTTGACTTATTTGTAAATTAAAATTCAAACGGATTACACACATGTGAAGTAGAGAGTGCTCTTTAGCTGTGTAAAGGGTACAGGAGGGACACATATAGGAGTTGCACTGCAATGTCAAGACACTTCTGACTCAGGTCTGCGCAGCACTGAACTATGTCCCCACAGGACTTTCTCTAGCTTTGCACATTCTCTCCAGAAGGCAAAACACATTGAACAAGACATTTAACAAGCAGAGTATGAATCAGATTTACTGATAACATTGCTGGATGTACTGTATAGATTTCTCTACCCACGCAACAGCTGCTCAGAAGCTTTTATACGAACACCAGGTGCAGCTCTATCGTTAAAGGACCTGTCAAAACACACACATATACACAATATTGCCTTCATTGACATGAGAAACAAACAAAAAAAAAACAACACAATACTTTATTCTTCCAATAAAGGAAATGCGATTAGTTTAACAGCTGGAATGAGAAGTTCAATGCTGACCCTCACATCACTGCCTCCATCAAAAGGAAGGAACCTTCATAGTGGCAACAGGGCAGAGCAGGCGCACCGATACCCAGACACGCCAAAGAGAGGCCTTCTTCTCTCAGGCTCTCAGGCTCTCAGGCTTATGTCAAGAGTTCCAACTCAGGGGGAAAATGCCACAAGGGTTGAGGTGTGGGAGTCAACAGAGCTGTGCAGCAGTTCGCCCCCTCTTGGGCAATCAAGGCTCACGATCTCCAGCCTCCTCAGCAGCCAAACCCCTCACTCCCTTCCCTCGGGGGCCTAGCAAGGCCTGCAAAGCCTGGGAGCACGGGTGGCCGCAGTGGCAGACGGACAGAAGCCGACAGGCGGGGCGGGCCTCACACTTCCACCTCCTGGCTGTCGGAGAAGTGGAAGCGGTTGAGTTTCTCGCGCTCCCGGTTGGAGATGTCCAGCTTGGCGCTGCTCCTCCTGGGCTTCTTGGTTTCTGGGGTGGGCGGCAGGCTCAGCTCAATCTCCTCACGACAGCGGGGCACTGGGGGAGGGCCGCCCAGGTTCCGGATGAGGGTGACGCACTCCCGCTGGTTATTGATGCCCTCGTCCTGCCCGGCGTGCTGGCGCTCCTTCCTGCGCCTCCGGAGCTGAGCCAGCAGGTAGATGCACAGCGTCGTTCCCACTACCAACATGGCCAGCAGGACGACCATCACCACGTACAGAGTGCTCCCGGAGCCTGGCACGGCAGAGGCGCAGAGAGCACCGTCAGGCACAGGCACACACAACC